TGAAATAAAATATTTTGTATAAATAGCTTTAAAATCAGATAATATTTTTACATTATTCACAAAAATATTGTGTTTTACTGTAAAGTTTTGGCGATAATAATCACTGGCAATGAATTCAAGGTTTTACATGAATTTTAATGCAGTATACTATTTATTATGTTTTTGAAAAGTTTTTCACATGTAATGCATAAAAGGTCTACAACTCTATGGTCTCGAAAGTTAATGATGTCTTTCCTCCTGTCATGAAATGAAAGCATATCTTAAGTTAAATGACTTAACGCTTCAAATAATTTCTCTGTCTTTAAATAAAATATATACATTTTTAAGTAAAATTATGTATTATTAGACTCTTTTGGGTTATTTTATTTATTATTCTAAAATTTCCCTTATTGTTCCCTGATCATTATTTTGAAATATACAAAATGTACTAAAGTTTGAACTTATTTATGCTCTTGGTAAAATTCCAGTAGTTCAAGAAAAATACTTGATCAAAAATAATGGTCATATTAACTCATAGGACGATACTGTTGATTGATATTCACTTGCTGTGCCAATTGGCATGCACTTGATGTATCAGACATGGAATTCCTTTTATGCTTTCCTATGGGTATCGGACCACTTATACAAAGTAGTTTGGAAAAACACTTTCTATGCATTAATTAAAAATTATTTTATGTAAAGTTTACAGTTTTTGTAAAATGCAAACTGTATAATGTTATTTTCTAGGATAAATTCTACTCTAGTAGCTACTATTCTTATATTGTTCATGTGTATAAATGTGAATTAGTCAATATTTCCATAAAATCTTTCATAAATATTATTGAAATTAGAAATATCTAATTTTATCGAAGTAGTTTTTCTAAAATACTTATATCTATTAGAATTAATTAATAAAACTGATAAAATTCCAATATTTCCAAAACAATTATACTTGATTAAAGGTAGTGGACACATGGACTCATAAGATTATACTATTGACTGATATTCATTTGCTATGCAATTGGCATGCATTTGATATATCAGACTTGGAATTCACAGCCTATTTACTGAATAGTTTTCAACTTTCCTATAAATATCGGACCACTTGTAACATACAAATTACATTCTATGCATTGATTAAATATTATTTTATCTAAGTTTACAGTTTCTACAATGCAGTGCATAACAATTAATTACATTAAATAATAATGAAAATAATTTTCTAGAAAATATTCTACACTTCTATACTAATACTATTGATATTATTAAATGTATAAATGTTAATTAATAATTATTTTTGTAGAGGCGTTACTACAGTTAATATAATTAAAGTTACAAATATCTATTGTATAAAAGGATGTTTTGTGAATTAAAATAATATCATTACAGTATATGCATTAAAATATAAAACATTGTTACATTTTTATGTAATAAATTTCAACTTAATAATTAAAAAATGAAATGTCGTGGTCATAATGGGCTTACAGGATCCTTATTTTGATCGCTTATTACACTACTATAATATTATATAGTAATTTCCTAATAAACTACATTTCCCGGTTAATGTAGTCATTTTAATGAATTCCTATTACAGTATTCTCGGACCACTTGTTATTAAAGCATACATTTTAATTATACGAAAAAACAATTTTGTGAATATAGTTTGCAATTTTTATATAAAAAAAGTTACAGTCATAATTATTTGTATAAGAAATATTAACTTATGAATAGAAAATAAAACATGGTCATAATTAGCTGATATGACTCTTAGTTTATGGGACCATATAAGTTAACTTGATTACTTGATGAGATAACTTAATTAATTAAGTTTTAAGCCGTAAAAATGATTTGAATTATATTAATGAAGTCCTATTTAATATTAATAAAAGTAACGGACATATGGACTCATAGGATGGTAATGTTGACTGATATTCATTCGCTTCACACAATGGTATGCTTTTGATGTATAAGACGTGAAATTCCTTTTAGGCTTTCCTATGAGTGTCGGACCACTAATTAATCATAAATTGATTTTAAAAGTATTTTATGAAAAATTTGTATTTTGTAAATTGAAAATACCCTAAAATTATTCAAAACATTACATGTATGACCAAATAATTATTTTATTTATTTATACAATATAAAAATACAGATAACATTATAAAATAATTGCCATCAAATACTACCCTGTTCCCTTTATTCGTACATTTATCACCATAATTTAGATCACTAACATGGTTAACACGACACACATTTACCAGTATTTGCATCACAAATACGGTTGGGATCATAGGTCTGGCAATCCCTGTCCACATCGCACGCGAATCTTTTGCATTCATAGGCCGTGTTTTGAGTGTATTTATAATTTGGGGCACATTTACAACGTCTGTCCACACAAATATGATTAGACATCCAATTGCAGTCATCCTTGGATTTTAACAAAATTATAAATTTTGAATTTAAATACAATTGTTTCAATAAAAATGTTTCAATCTTATAAACCTCTCTAATGACAGATCACAAAAATGAACAGTCAAAATGACCACATTTTTTGGTTAACCAAATAAATTATTTATTAAGCAGATAAATATATAACGAGATTTAATATTTCTAATTTAAATCTATAATTAAGCAATATTATTACTTTGTAATAATTTGATATAATAATTTCAATTAATCGACTAGGCATTACTAATGCCTTTTAAAATAGTTTGCATTAGAATATTTTCATTTAAATTTTGTTTCACTCTTCCACTTAAGATATTATCGCCCAATTCATAGTCCATTGAATCCCAGTCCTCATCTCTAAAGCTGTATATAAATGCTGAGATGGCATGTGTTTTGCATAAATTCATTATACAATGCAAATACAGGTCAGCTCCCAATACATCTCGACTGATACCAAACTCACCCAAAAGTAGTTTAATTTTAAACTTTTGTGACCATTGAATGGCTGTTAAAAATTTATTCGCAATATAATTGTCATTGATTTCAATCATTTGTGGATATTTGCTGTTTTCATAATCAGGTACTTGTGAGGGATATGCGAAACGATTTTTGTTTCTCTGTCTTTGAGTCAAAAGCATGGGTTCATAGAAATGAAAGGAAACCAAAAGGTTTGTGTCGATAGTCAGCAGGTTTTCGATGGATAACTTGGGAATGGCGTCGACTGTCGCCCAATAACTCGATTCAATGATAATCGGAGTTATTTTGTCGACTAAACGGATGGATTCAATCATTTCGATATATCGTGACATTAGTTCAGTTAAACCTAAGTTATAAAACAAATAATAATTTTTGAATTTAGTATTATAATAATTAATGTTTATAATTTATAATAGTAAAAATAGTTATTAATAATTACCAGGATCATTGTCAACGAACTCGTATTGTTCTTCCAATGGAGTGAAGGGTTCATTAATGAGATCATATCCGACGACATTCTCCTCTGAATACAAATTCTTTGCAATGAATTCCCAGATCTCTGGAGAAGACAACTGTCTATAAAGGGTTAGCACAACACGAATGCCATTGGATTTCAATAGAGATATAGTTGTCTTCAATTGTCTCATCTGTAGGTCTCTATTGGCCACAAATCCCTTCAACTCATAGTCCACTTTATCGCCTAACCCTACGGCGCCTATTCTCACGCATTTCACTCCCATTTCCACCAAATCTCTGACACTTTCTTCGCTTATTTCCGACGATATATTGAATCCAACGAATAATTTGTCCCAAAATTCACGCTTACTTTTAGCCAATAATTGCTCACGTTTTTCATCCAATTTGATATCATTTTCCTGATCGCTGTCCCAAACAGGCCATCCCTGAAGCATGTGATGGATGTATAGTTTGATTTTGTTTTGTTTGACTTCAGGTCTCGTATATAACGCTAAACCGATTTCATCCGAGTCTTGAGTCCGGCTGACGATCGCATCCCTCAATTCGCTCGCATTTGTCGACAATTTCCTGAGTTTTCGATTGAATTTATGGTTTAAGACATAACTCATCCAATAGTCGTCCACTAAAGCAAAGCACGGGTCGGGCACTGGTATTGACGCGCATTCCTGAAGGGCTTTCC